TCTTCTCTTCCTTATAATATTCAACCTACTTATTAATGGTCTATGGTTCCATTCTTTTACCACACTTTGTTTCCCTTTTATTCATATAAATTAAATGTTTTCATCCATATATTCCTTACATTTTACAATGTACAAGTATTCATATGAACAAGTCAAATACACACATACACATTTAATGTTTTCCTAAAAACATATGGTATTTCTTTGATTATAAGTCTAGACTAATTTAAGTATTTTTTCTTTACTATACTAATAAATTGGAAAATTAGAATTATCTATGACGTAAAATTACATAGAAAGCATGACTGACTGTTTGAGCCACTGAATAAACGTATAGATTTTGCTAGATACACAAATACACAGTTAAAGTTTGAGAAGAAAATTAAACAAAAGGACCCTAGCTTTTAACTTGCCACACCTTCTTACTTGGCGGGTAGCCTGAACTTCTGGTGCACAGTGACCTCACAGCTAGTGTTCACATGAGTTTCTTCCTCTGAGGCCAGTAAGTTCACATACACAAGAAGAGTGTGAACAGCACTGGTTCTGTACTTACAGATTTGATAGCAGTCACTTTGCTTCTTAGACTTTCAGTGAGTCTGTCATTTTCTTCTTCGCAGGCATTATAGCCACTGCCGGCATAGCCATAGTTCCCATAGCTGCCAGGAGGTCCTCCTTCACCTACAAGGATCAGAGGCATGCATGTAGGATTGCAAAAACAGATGCTATTTTCTAAGGCTTAGTAGTTAAAAAAAATGGAAAAAGACCCCTGGAGGGCGTTGCAGACCACATATATCTAAAATAGTCACACTAAAAATCAATTTTAAAAAATCAAAACCAGAGATTATAATGATTCTTTTCATATCCTTTTAAGCAAAGTATGCAGTTTCTTCAATACACATTTATTGATCATTTATTGATTGCCTAAAAAAACACTAAAACAGACATTGATATACAAGGATATTTGGGAGACTTTTCCTGCACACTAGAAATACATGTTTTAATAGAGGACATAAACACACAACCATCTACCCATCAGAAAAGCTTGACTATAAAAGGAAAGGGGGGAAGAAAATGTGGAGGAAGGGGTTCTAAAGGCAGAAGATGGTATTTATTTTACTAGCAACCTTCACTTACAGAAGCAAGTGGTGAAAAGCCAAGGACAAAGGGAAGTGGAGGCCATAAGGGAAAGCCAAGGAAAGAGATGCAATGGCTTGTAGAGGTCGTTAGCAGAAAGTCCTGAAGCATTTCACCCATTTTCAACAAATATTCGAGAAGCTACCATGTGTCAACTCTATCTTTATGCTATTTTTACAACACCCCATAAGTCTGTCTACTATAGTACTTGACAGTCATCAGGAAAACAACAGATATGGTGAGCATTGGGCAGCAAATAATACATGAATGTGTTGGGACTGAGGGTACTATTTCACCAAGTTTTTCTAAACCGACGTCATCATTTTCTTAGTAAAGACAGCAAGTGGGCTAGACAGTGAAGAAGAGTGATCATTTAGAATAAAATAAAGAAAATCATAAGGAACAGTGACTAAAATCATTCAGTATTTCTAGAATAAATTGACCACAGCTGTGGCAGTACACTGAATTAGTTTCTGACTTTCCAGATGTGAGACCTCTCAACAGAAGGGCTCATTGGTCTCAGTCAGCTGTTGAGAAGAACACTGTTGGATGGACCTGGAAGTGGAAATTTTAATACTGGGACTAGAGAAGAAGAAATCCCCCAAACTTTGATATGGTTTGACAAAAGAGTGCAGAAAGTATTAAAGGGAATAAGACTGTCCATGGTTGGAAGCACCTTCTCTAGTGCTCAAAGTGTAAATGGCAGGAACAGCAAGAGTAACAGCTGAGAGAGTGCGTAGCAGTAAATCTAGTAGCTGTATCTGAAGGATGCTTAATGTCTGAATAAAAAACTCTCTCAAAGCACAGCACAAATTTAATTTTATTCAAGTAGCAAAAGTCTTGAATCCTTATAGCTTTGAATGTATGACATCATCAACACTGATGTCTAGATTGAACTATAAGAACATAAACTAAATTTATTCATTTATTCTTTATCTCCATAAACACTTAATTATTTTAAGTGAATACTTATAAATTAACTGACTAAAGAATACAATTTTAATTTACGGCTAAGCAACTTTGTCAAAAGCAGAGTGTCTCATGCTTCTAGATCCTCCTGTACACAATGAGTGCTATCTATGCATCAGACACCCACATTTCTCCTTGTACCACAAAATCCACAACAACAAAATGTTGAATATTCCAAACAGATGGGATAGTTACATACTCAAATTTCCTATTGACTGCTGGCAAGCTAACCCTGAATTCTCAATACATGTTTTCAAACAGATTAAAAGCTGTTGAACTTTTAATCATTTCTTCCCACTCACCAACTAAAGTCACCACTTAAAATATTCTGAGCAAACTCTGACAAGATCCAAGACCTTGTTTTATGTGACTAAGGAGCTGGGTATGACATATTGCCCAGTAAGTAATTTTGGAATGGCTAAAGTTAATAACTGTATAACTCTACCAAGGAATTCATTCAAAATTAATAGCTGTTGTATTGCTTTTTTTGACACCCTGGGTAATCTTACATTTAGTTCCTCCTTCCCCTGTGTTTTTCTAAAGTAAAATTCTCACTTTTTTTCAGAAATTTTTAATGCAGTTCCAAATTTGATCTTTCTTGAAACCATCCTCTACACCAGAAAAACAAAACTAAAATAAAATACTAGAGTTCCTATCAAACTTGGCTCCATTGTTTCTCTGTGAAAATTATTACTATGAAAACCTTTAGAAAAACAAGTCCTGAAGTACATCTTCAGTCTTCATTATTTCTGAAAAGTGCTACTTCCTTGAATCATGTTCTATCAATAATCAGGCCAATTCATTTAACAGCAGATTTTTACATAAGATTGTTTACCATGTTCACCATTATTTTGATTTTAAAATTTCAGGTAAATACATATTGGTACTTTAAAAAGTCTCATAACTTTACACCAATGTTAGTAATAACATACTTTAATAGGTACCCTCGTCTAGACTGCACAGGCACTTTAAAAAGAATTAGGAGGGGACTCTAGTCTAGTCATATTGAAAATCTAATATCTTTCTGAGCAATTCCAACATATAAGCAGAGCTACAAACCTACTGTCAAGTCCCTGCCCTGAATGTAATATAAACAGTACAGCATAAACAACATCCCAATAGTTCATTGGCCTGCTGCTAACATGTAAACTCCTTGGATAGACAAAGATTTTCAGAATGTCTCAGGGTCCTAGCTCCAAAGTGCTCTGATCACCAAAATCTCTTGTACACATCATTTGTAACCCTAATCCTGAATCTTTGTCATCTTTCCATCTGGAACCTACTTCCCCCATTCCCTCTTGTCAAAGGCACCCTTTGAGTTCCTCTGGCTCCAGAAAGTAGGCAATGACGCAAGTATTATTAAATCTCTACTGTATTCACTATCTGTTTAACTTAATTAGTGTTTGGGTGAAAAGTTACCGCCTTGGATCATAATTTGTCTTCTACTTCCGAAGCATTTTTTCCCTGCTCCTCAGTTACATTGAACACTTTGGGAAGTACATGCTGGGTCACAAATGATCACCCACATAAAGCTTATGTTGCAATAAATGTTGCCATTAGTGATGAAAGAATTTAGGCATATAAGACTAACCTTGTTTGAAATTAGTTCTTTAGGTTATTTGACAATGACTGCTTTCTTTCAGTACTTGCAAGCATTTAAAAAGCTAACTTTATAAATTCCTTCACATGTAACTATTTATTGATAATCATGTAAGTCTATATTACTATTACCTTTCACTGCCATTATTTTTCTATTGTTCTAAATTACCCACTCTCTTCTCCTATAGCCAACCTTATTAAGAATACCACTCTGCCCTGTCATGAGTATTGTATTCCATCTCCAACAATCAAAATTCATGTCAAGCAGTGAGTTCTGGGCTGCAAAATAGGCTTTATTTATTTCCCTTGTCTAGTTTTAAGTGTTTGTTCATTGGCTTTAAACACCTAAAATTAGATCCTATTCAATGTTTCATTCATTTTTTCCCCAAGCATGCTGTCCTTCTTAAAAACAAGAAAAACCATGTTAATAGAGAAGTTCAGAACCAGAAAATGCTATTCTGATATTTTGTTATTACTTCTCCCATCCATAAAGGCAAGAACAAGTGTTAACTCATCAAAACTTATCACCGTCTATTGCCTTAACAGAGGGACAAGGTCTAGGTCGGAAATGTTCCAATCATCTTTGACCCAGACCTTCACAACCGGCCCTTTAATAATAATGACGCGTAAATTCACCTTTGGAACTCGCTGCAATCATACTAACATACCACCATTAGTGAGCTGGGAGTCTCACATCCCCTCTCCAAATGGCATTTCTAAGAAAAGCAAGATCCAGAATGAGTACAGAAAAGGAACCAGAGCAAGGCTGGGGGAGGAAACACTGCTACTTCCCAAACTAGCTCGTAAGGAAAGAAAACTCCAGACTACCGGTCACCCTGTGAAACTTACCATAGAAACTTTCCTCTAAACTAAAGTAAACTGCTCAGAATTGGGACAAACGATGCGCTTCCACTTGGCACCGCCTTCAAAGAACCCAAACAGCTCGCTCTCCAGCCCCAGTCGCTGACCCAAGGCCGGTAGAGCTCCTCCCTCGCCCCTACTCCCGGCTCGACAGGTCCCAGGGTCCCCAAACTTCGAACCTCAGCCCTGTTCTTACCCAGGCCTGCACGCCTCATCCTGCCAGGACGGGGAAAGGCGGGCGAGGAGGAGTGGGTAGGAAAGGGCCAGGGTCACCGGACCTCGGCTTCAGTCCCAGGGCCCCTCAGAGAACCAACTTTTTGCCTCTGAGCGCCACGACATCAGTGGAGTCTAAACACCGCGCTGGTTTATGCCGTCACCCGGACACTTACAGGCGCCCTGCAATGAGGATTAGTTGCATTCTGGGAAATGTAGTTTTCTATCAGCTCTGGGCTCTTGGCGAGGGGGCGTGGTGGAAAGCTGGGCGGGGCTTCCGGAAAAGTGGCTGTGGAGGTTGGGGCTCTAGTCTTGGGTGTCTGGTCTTTTTCTCCTCTTCTAGAGACTCCAGTAGAGTACTTTCTATGTTAGGGCAAAAGTTAACCCGGGATATTTACTCCTTCCTGGGCGGGAGGATGGCCGAGTCATCTTTCCTGATTCATCCTAGTACTTCCTCTTACTCAGAGTCAGATGGGGGAAAGTCAGAGAAAACTTTGTTGAAGAGTCTCACATCTTACTGCATGAGTCTTTCATCAGGGAGCAAAGATGAATCGATTCGTTCCTGATAGGTCAGTAAACACAGCTCCTTGCAGTAGGACTCCTGGTAGGAAACTGTGGAGTCTCATTCCTTGTTAATGCGTTTGTTCCAAGTCTGGATAGAACTGTGCCACTTAGCTCTTAAGTACCCAGAATGCCTTAGAACTTTTAAAACTTACACATGGATGCCTGATACTTGTTTTCCTGGAGCAAAGAGTCGATGTAAGGGTTTAAAAACTTGTTGGGAAGAGTGCGAAGGCGGTGGTTCATTTGTTGTGAAAGGATCATTGTGAGGTTTCAAAGAAATAATGGTTTTGAAAACGGTAGTTGTTCACAACCCGTGTTGAAATGGTTTACAGTTGGATGACACTGATACAGTATTTATAATGGAGCTTTCTCAAAGTGTTTCCCATTATAAGCATTGACTATATAGATCAATTCTCAAGCATAAACATTGACTATAAAATACACCTAAGACAGTTTCCAATGTGATATATTAACTGGGAAAAATAAACTCAATAGCATTAAAACAACCCTCGTAAAACTAAAGCAAGCTACTATTCTCTAAAAGCAATGCCTGACTGAGGTCAGGAACGTTGTAATAAATAACCCAGAAGATTCAATGAAAGAAATGATAGGCTCCTTTTTTCATATACAAATTGTGATGGTCCTCTCCCCATCCGACTCCCATTGGGCATTCAAAAAAAAGAGGCAGAAAGTACGTTTGATACACAGAATAATAATTACTAATCATGATGACAACTATCAGAAATGTATTCAGAAGTGTAATGTTAATACTTTAGGACAATTTGAGCCTCAAGATAGAAAAGCTGGACTGCTTGCTAAAGATTATCAAGAGTCTTGTAGAAATTAGAAGAGCTACAGAAAGAATTTCTACACAGTTTTTATGGGCCTGGGGACAAGAAATTAAGCACTACAATTCCAGCATCTCAAATTGTCCTAAAGTATTAACATTACACTTCTGAATACATTACAGAATTCAGTATTGAGATTACATTCTAGGTTAGTAAGAACACACACACACACACACACACACACCCTTTCTAAAGGAAAGAGTTTTAAATGATAAGGTATAACATAAATATCCATTATTAGGCACCCGCTGAAGCTATTTATTTCCAACTTCTTTCCATTAAAATATAACTAATTTTTATTTGTGTACTTCCAGATGTCTTCCATTATAGGGAGATGGTGACTAATGACAGACATCACACATGCCCATGGATATTTAAATAGTATCACATTGTTTATCTTAAGAAACAAAGACAGAAAAAGCCTATGAAGAAACTTCTTCAATTTCCCCATCCCCAGCTGAAGACAACATAATTTCATCAGGGAATGCCAACAGGATGTCATGCTAGAGAAATAATGAAAGAGCCGACTACAGTGTATTGAAACATCTCCTTATTGAGAAGGTCTTAAGAAAAGGTTGGTCAGTTTTACTCAATATTCTGTGACTTGAGAGTTACTCACAGGAAGTCCTCAGTAGGAATGTTCAGCGCCTATAAATATCAAAATATGCCCTTTCCCCTCCATTTCAAAGTCAGTGTAGTAATCTGACTGTGAAGACGACACAGCGTTTGAAACTGAAGGAATCTCCTTTTTAGAGCAGACAGAGAGTAGCCATTGGTCACTTCTCTACAGATGATACTGACATCCCGTTTGTCACTCTAACTCTGGCCCGTTTCTTTACCTGGTAACTTATTCCTGCATGCTTGTGGACAATTCAGTTTGAACGTGTCTTCATACTCTCAAGCTCAGCAGTATCCTCCAGGCATCTTGCCTCCCAGGTTTTCTCAGTTCCCCTTAATACTGTTTCAGGGCAAAAACCCTGGGCTGTGTTGAGGTTCCAGTTTTGTCAACTATAAAAAATTTCCCAACAAGCCCTGTTTAAGCTTCACTTGCCGTTTCTTTTCATTTCTCCCCTTTCCCTCCATTCCCAAACTAGCAGCAACAATACAGAGTTCAAGTGCCTCTACTTGAATGTGCTTTTCAAACTTGTTCTCACCTCTGATTCCTCCAGGCTTTGCCACACTAGAATTTCTTAGAGTGTAATTTTTTATCACCGCTGTTAAAAGAAGTTCAGGGGATTATCTCAGACACATTTGGCAAAAGGGTAAAGAGTTCATAACATTTTAATGCTGACGCTCCCCAGGGGCCTGAATCCTGTAATTCCCTGGTAAAAATCAATAAAAGGCCAAAGCAGGCCTGTGAGGTGGCAAAAGTCAGCCTCAAGCCCATGCTTACTCTCCTTGGGGTCAAGACCTGCTGCTGATATTTCTGTTGTGCCTCTGAACCCAAAGGACTTCTCTCCTTCAAAACTATACCCAGTTTCACCTCATTAGGATCCCTCTCCTCCTCTAGCCAAAGCACTCCTCTCATTATTTCCTGTTTGTTTTCAGACAAGAAATCAGTAGGTAATCAGGAAAAAAAAAAAAAAAGAAAAAGAAATCCTTCCAATTGCCATGAGCCAAAGCATGTCATGGGGATCTCAATGTCCTTAGATTCCACCATAGATGCTGTCCGTGATAATCACACGGCAATTAAAAATGAATGATTTCTCCTACCTGGCTGTAAATTTCCCCTAATTCATACCCCGATTTGTATTTTAATTGAGTAATAAGTCTGTTCTATTTTTTCCAATTGCAGACACAGTAGGAAGAGTTGGAAGGTAGTACAGGCTAGTGATTAAAAATGTGTAAAATAACCGCAAATGCTTCACTCTCTGTCACCAGGTCCTTGTGCCTCGATGTCTTATTAACCAGGTGGGAATTTACATCAGTGCTTGAGAGTGTGCATGAGGTCAAGCTTGCACAAAAAGAAAGCCCGAGGTAGTGAACTGAATGCCATCCTTGAGCTCAGCCCTTGTTCTGCTTTTGCTAGACAAATTCTAATTTGTTAATACTATTCTCTAATTACAACCGACCCACCTAAACAGAGGTTCTTGTTACTCAAGTTGCTGTACCGTGCTGCATTTAAGTGTTTTAGAGGGCTCATCCTCTAACTATCTATTTTTCTATAACCGTAACCCCAAAGCCTTTAACCATTTTCAATTTCTTTCTTTTTCTTCCTTTTCCTTTTTGTAATTTAAGTTAGAAACAAGCTTGCTTCACATGTCAACCCCAGCTCCCTCTCCTTCCCCACCTCCCCGCCCCCCCTCACAAGGCCTCCCAATCCCCCACCCATGGAGGCCCTCAATGGAGGATCTCCTGAGTCTGTCATTTCATGCAGGGCATGGCCTAGGTCCTCCCCCCAAGAGTCCAGGCTGAGAGAGCATCCCTCATTGTGGGATGGGCACCCAAAGTCCATTTGTATGCCAGGGATAGAGTTGCTCTACTTTTCTCTGTGATTTTAAACCTTTAACCCTAAAAATTAAAATTTCTGCTAATGGATAAATTAATAAGTAAAATGTGGTCTATCCACACAAGGACAGCCTGTTGGTAGTGGGTATCTCATACCATTTTCCTCTAACTGGTCCAAAATGATCAATAGGCTGTTCCCTTAGATTTAGGAGAAATGAGTGTGATTGTCACTTGTCACATTGCATAAGAACTGGATAGTCTGCTTTGCATTTCTAGCACTGTCTCTAATTTCAGAGTTACCTCCCTCATTTCACATGCCTTTTCCTGGATATTCAGCCAACAAAGCCCTCCTGTCTCTTTTCTACAAAGATGAGTCATGCCCTGAGACTACTTGTCCTATTATGTAGATAAATAACCTAGGCAAATCCATTCAAATCTTTCTATAATGATTCCTGGAGTGGGACAGAATGTGCCTACTCCTTTTATCTCATCGGGGTAAAGGTGAATAGTGAAAACCTCAGCAGATGCCTATCCTAACTCAAGGAGACATTCTGTACTAACATAGGATAAGGACAACCAAGAGAAACCCTGACACACATCAATGGAATTACAGTAGAGATAACTACAGAGGTAGCAATAGGGAAATGAGATACAGTACTGTGTTAACAATGGATGGCTCTGAATGAAAACACAGCAAGTCAAAGTGGATAGGATTTTACTTCTTCATTTATAGTCACTAGATTTGATTTCTTTTCTTTTTTGTCATTATTGCACTGTCAAGAGCCTCCAATCGACATTAATAACGATAATTTCATTTTCAATTTCAAAAGAAAACATTTAATATCATACATTGAACTTACTAAGTATCAAGTATCATGCTTTGTTAGACATTTTGGCAAATATTTTGTCATATCACAAACATTTTAGTGTGCCAAGAGGGTTTTAGAAGATAGTATTGTTAATTTTATTTACTTTCTGCGCATATTGATATGAGCTTTCATTTTTAATACTCTGAATTATATTGATTTTCTAAATGTTAAGTCAACTTTGTGTATATTGTTCTTTTAAGATATTTGTTAATGACTTGCATGTCCTTATTCATTAGAGACTTTGCCTGCAATGTTCTTTTCTAGTAATTACTCTTAAACTCTTAGAATTGAGAGTATATCAGGTTAACTGCTTACACATGGGGAGAATTCACTGGCAATATTACCAGGTCCTGATGGCTTTCCTATGTTCTCTTGACATTATTACTTATCATTGCTTTAACAACTAGACTCTAGCTTAACACAGATTGATCTGTTCCCTTTGGCTTCTACCCTTTGTTTTTACTCATTGGCCCTTTTTGTTTTGCTAACTATTTGTTGTTATCTCAGTTACACTGTAGAGTATTTGTAATACTGCTATAAATTTTGAAACATTTTCATTTTTGATAAAAGTGCAGTTTCAGCTTTTTCTGTTACTAGATATGGTTAGTTGGATTGTTTTAAAGCTTAAATGGGTTCTACTTTGAAATATACATGGCCTAAAACACTAAAGACAGGCAAATAGGCAGAAGTTTCAGTAAAGGATAAAATGGAGGGACTGGAGAGATGTTCAGGATTAAGAGCACCTGCTGCTCTTCCAAAGATACAAGTTCAGTTCCAGCAGTCACATCAGGCAGCTCCCAGCCATCTGTTGCTGCTGTTCCAGGTAATCTGGAGCCTGTAGTGCTCTGGGCACCTGCACTCATGTGCACAGACTCACATGCAGACATACACATCTATACAAATTTGAAAAATCCTCACCAAAATAAAATATTTTAAAGGTTTAAATAGGAACAAATTAGTACAAAGGCAAAACATATATTCACGCATATTAAAAGTAAAATGCCTATAAATTGAAGTCTTCCCAGGTCTAATGGAACTTCTTTGACTCTAATCCAACAAAAATCTCTGAACCAGGACTGTTAAAAAAGAAGCACAATCTTCAAAATTGCAAAATAACTGATATCTGAAGCTCAAAAATGTGTTTATTCCATCTGTTTTTAAAAAAAGTTCTTTTAGGGGTGGTTGTGAAATATTTCAGATAATTACAGACACCTCCCATTAATGTCTTCTAGGCAAAATAGGGAACCAAAGAAGTTAATTTATCTCCAATTATCCCTTGAAGTATAGTCTGCTTTTACAGAAAATATTTTTATGTTTAGATAGATGCCCAGAAATTATAAGTTACATTCAATATTTTTCCAGTACTCATAGGGAACAGTCAGAATTTCATGTTAGATAAGAAATCTTGGTTTGATATCGCTAGTGAGATGAGACTTTGCCTAAAGACACACATACACACAGATACACACACCAGATTACACACACAACACAGACACACACAGATGAATACATCTAAACACACACACATACCCCAGATACACACACACACAATACATAGACACACAAAGATACACACGCCAGATACACACAATACAACCACACAAAAAGATGCATACACACAAACATACACACACAAACACAAGCATACACACAGAAACTTGGGGCACTCTCTCTCTCTCTCTCTCTCTCTCTCTCTCTCTCTCTCTCTCTGTCTCTCATATGGACACTCACACACACCAAGGTAGAAGTCTTTCTGGTGAAGATTCTATTTTCAGAATCTCACATTATATTTCTTAAAATCTCAGTATATTCTAGCAATATAGAATATTCACAGAAATGGTTAAAGTTAAATTCTGGAAAGTACCATCTACAGGCCTTTTATGCTAGATTTAGTTTTCTACATCTTCCTTTGGCAGATTTTCCTAAAAATCAAAATGGGATGTATTTGCAGAAAACACCAAAACTACTTTTTTATTTGAATTGTGACTTAAAAAAACAAGAAAACTAGCGCACTGAATAAATGACAAGAGTTGGTAAAGAAAACATATCCCTTCTTATCCCAGTTACACAGCAAAGGCAGAAATCTGATAAAATAGTGAAATGAGACCACATTTTTATATTAATATGTAAGGAAATGACTTTTACAATTTTTTCAATGATAGATAATACTCGAAAAACTTCCAATTTGCAACCAAAGAAAAACGAAACATAAATCACAATTTCAGAATCTCCATGGCTCACAAAAGACAACAGGAAAGGAAAAAGCATTTTGTAACATCCTGCTGAGTCTTCTTACCTCATGGCACGGCAAACAAATTATATTCTAGGGGGGAGAAAAAAAGACAAAATCAAAAAAACCTCAGTCAATCTGGCAACTCCCAGGGAGCTTGCCAGCACTCTTTACAATGGTCAAAGAAAAACCAAGGCCAGTGAGGAGGAAGGAGGGAGGCACAGAGTAACAGGAGCTCCCTGTAACTCACCCGCTGATCACTAACCATCAATACAACTTTAAAGTGGAGATGCCAGATAGACTTTCAAGGGATTTAACTTTATTCTGACAGCTATGTGAGTGGTTGCCTTTTTTTGTAGAGTACAGCACCTTCAGGTTGTGAACAGAAATCAGGGCTTATTCTTATTTTCATGGTACCACCTCATTATTGTATGTTTAAAAATTTCTGCTTTGTTTTGTTTTGTGTGTGTGTGTGTGTGTGTGT